CTGCCTAGTGCCGTCAACAGGGGTGGAGGAATGGCAGCAGCTTTTGGAGAAGCTAGAGAGGGAAAATGTGGCACTCTCGGTGCCTCTTCCCTACCATCGATGGCACACTAAGGAGACACAGCTGAGCAAGTTCAACCAAACAGAGACAGAGGCCATGTTAGGGTCTTACACCAAAGTGCTCTTTGTCAGAGATCCTTTCCAGAGGCTGATCTCCATGTTTCTGCAAGGCATGGGCAGCAGCACATCCTTCAGCAGCTTTGTTCAGGACATTTTAGACAGTGGACAGCACAATGCCAGTGTGGCTTGGAAGCCGCTTGTCAACCTCTGCCGGCCCTGCCTCGTCCAGTATGACTACGTGGTGATGTTTGGCTTCCTCAGGCAGGAGCTGGGCCACCTGCTGCAGCGGGCTGGGCTGCCTACAGACAGCCTCTTGTCAGAGTTCACCGACACCCAAGGGCAGTGGACCTACAGCTGGTTATCAGAGCAGATGTTCAGTGAGCTATCTGCCCAACAGAAGAAACAACTGTCTCGTCTCTACCGCTGGGACCTTGCTGCTTTCCCATTTTCTAGCAGTTTTCTGTCAGACCCCCTCAGCACTTTGTAGAAACAGCCCATTTGGAGGACCTGTTTCAAGAGAGCATTAATCAAAAAGCACCTCAAGATACTGACAGGCCTTTGCTTCACAGCTACATGTGGCATCATTGTCCATGTCATAGCTCCAAAAGGCACATCAGAGAGCCGAGGCAGACCACTGCCAAGGATGGGATGTCAAAGCTCTTCATGCAGTTGAACTGTGTTTAAACACAACAAGAACAGGTACTAGGGAAACTTGTGGTACTGGGGCTTGGAAAACTGCATGAACTGAACTGTGACAGGGTAAATGGCTCTCAGCAAAACTAGATTTTAGGGGGAGGGTGGGTTGGACCTACTGCAAACCACGGCAGCATCGCACATGCTTTGCCTGCACTGACATTTCATATTCTGGGCTCCCTTTTGGGCCAAGAGGTTTGGCATTATCTTCTTCATTATAGATCTCCCCACACAGATACAAGAAGTGCTCCAAAAGGAGCATGTCACCTGGAGTCTCCCTATTCCGCTTAAGTGGGTGAGATATGACACAGGGCAGCACCCCCTCCCAGGGAACCACTGGTGATGTCCCCAGTATTTTCATGCTCAGGGAAGGCCAGGCTTGGCCCAGATGGCCCATAATTTGGTCTTACCTGTTCTGTGTGTTCTGCTCCTGTTTTACAACCTGAACATCTCCTACATTTTTAGGCTCAAGAATGCTTGCTCCATTCACAAGTTTTGAGTTTGGCTTGTCCCATTACAGGGCTGACTCAGATGGGCCAAAGCCAACTCAAATGTGCCAAGGGCAGCTTTCCACTCTGTGCACTAGCACTGAGACAAGGACATGTCAGTCTGGACCAGGTACCAGCCACATCATGCAGACAGACCACCATCCACCTTGTCTCAGCAGCTGGTGGGCCCTGTGGAGGTGGCTAGATACAGCATGAGGATGAGTCACTGTGCTGCTGTGGAAAACAGGATGCAGCTACTGTAAGCTCCTACTGCCTTTCTTTTGGACTTGGCTGCCAGTGTGACCAGATGGAAGCCCAAGCTCTCCAGCTGACTCACTGCTTCATCTGCCTGGGTATCCTGAAGCAACCACCCGCCCTCTCCCAGCCTTGATCACTGAGCTGATCTGACTCACAGCCTCTGGAAAAGTCCATCTTTGCCAAACGAACACCAAGGATGAGCTGAAGTTGTCCAGCTTTCAAATCACGACAGATTTTGCCGTAGCATACTAGTTTCCAGAATATTTAGCAGCTTTATTGTGTAGTGTTGTGACATTCACAGATAATTCTGCATACATTCATGTAACAAGGACATCAATTTGACAATGCTCATTAAAGAATGATAGTGAAAACTGTTGATTAGAACTGACCTAAAACGATTACCAAAATCTTGACCTCCCTCTCTCATCAAGGGACACGCAATTAATAGCATTACAAGATCAGATCAGCTGGTCTCCTTTCACCCTCCCACAAACTATCCAGCTACAGCAATTACTACTTAAATGCCTTTATTGTACGCAGTACTTTACTGTCTAGCAAGATGGTATAGTTCTTTTTCTGAGGTTACAGTTCTGGAGGGAAAGAAGCAGCAAATTTTCAATTATATGTAATTAAATTAGTCTTGCATTCATGATGTATTTCACTGGAAAGTCCTAGAAAAAGAGTGTTTTTCTCTTCATAAGTAGCTTTCTCTTCAGTGGCTGTGAGCTGAAATCCCATGCAGTGAGATGTGCGTGAAGAAATCTGACAACACCTGGCAGAGGACAGTGCTGTGCACTCACGGCAGGAGAGTTGTTCTCTGACATCTTTGTAGTGCAGAACATGTCTTAAGTCAGAGATCCTATAGCAGTACCTTCTCTTCCTGTCAGCCCTCCAGAGCAGGTCCCAGTCCTTCCCTAAGGTGCCTAGCACTTAGTTCCATGGGAAAGCAAAGGTATGAAATGTTAAGATACTGAGAAGTGACATGAAAATCTTGGCTTCATGTTTCTTAAGGGTCCCTGTCTTGCCCACGATGATCTTTCTGCAAATTCCAATTATCCTCTAAGCTTCCTTTTTCCCCTACACTTTCAAAACCAGTTTCTGTAATTACTTTGCAACTCTGATTTTATACCATACCCTCTCCAGGTGTTTGATATAGTTTACATTCAAAGGTGTTTTCTCTGTCCATCAGCTAGTGACAAAAGTGGTAAGAGAGCCCTGAGCTGGAGTGGGCTTGAGAGCAAGGACTGGTGCCTAGTGACTTACTTGTAGGATAAATTGCTTCACAAGCTGAGGTCTGCACAAAACAGCCTGCTCTGACCACTGTGTGTACACTGAACTTGGCAAATAATACACTTCCAGTTAACACACAAAGCAAATAGCAAAAGAGAGACTTGAGATATCTAATTTAAAAAAATTCCACCTGACCAGGCAGTCACTGTGGCTATGTGAGACACCACAAACCAATTCTGAAGTGATTGCTTCACAAGCTGAGGTCTGCACAAAACAGCCTGCTCTGACCACTGTGTGTACACTGAACTTGGCAAATAATACACTTCCAGTTAACACACAAAGCAAATAGCAAAAGAGAGACTTGAGATATCTAATTTAAAAAAATTCCACCTGACCAGGCAGTCACTGTGGCTATGTGAGACACCACAAACCAATTCTGAAGTGATGAAAAACGTGCTCCCAGAACCACAGGGGATAAAGAGCACTTACTCATCCTGTTAGTGACCCCAACACATCCCAGGACCCCCACAGGTAGGAGGCCTCTTGTGAACACTTGTGGCTTTCCCGTGGGATGACACTGGAAGCTCCTTGATATCACACTCTGCCTGTAGCTCCCCATGCTGTGCATTAACACATATTACCTTCCCTTTGTATTTCTCCTTAGCCTGGGCTGAGCATGTCCAGCAATCCCATAAGGTGGATGTCACAAACAGTGCCAATACTAATCTACCTTACAGACTTTGTATTTTGCAGCCCTTCCTGGAAATCCAGGAATGTGGATACACAGGCTCAATAGCTGTTCTTGCACATAAATTATCACGTTTTCTTCTCTAAGAGGTTTTTTATGTACTGCCAGCTTTTAGGAAAAAACAAAAATGTGTTCTTGCCCAGTACTTCAGAACTTAAGAAACACCAGTATTGTATTTCAATTAATAAAAGAATTAGATAGCAAGCCCAGCAGGCACAAAATACTTCCTGCAACTCACATATACAAATTTCCTTCTTCTAGATGGTAGAACCATAATATTTTAAGCTGAGAAATAGATCTACACATTTCCAAGCAATATACCCTGGAGTGCTTCAAAAATTATTTCACACTGAGCATACATTGTCCAGTCCTAAGATGGAGACCAATTTTAAGCAGTTTGTATGTGAGCAAAATTTTATATAAGGCAATGGAGTTACATCCTCTTGCACCATATTTTTGATGGCCCTAGGAGTGCAAAAAAATAGAAAAAGGACCATTTCATAAAGCTGTGAGCCAGAGAAACAGATAAAAGTTTGCAAATGATAAGTAGGCACAGTACATGGCTGACATCATCTAGAGATAACACGATGCTAGTGTTAAATCTGACAGTGGCAAAACCTGTCAAGGGGATGCCCAGCACTAAATCCAGCATGAAAAATGTATTCAACCCAGATGACACCAGGCCATCACATAGTCAGCACATTTTTCAGACAAGCACTTCCCATAGCAAACTGTACCCATTCTCTTACATTCAGCAAAACGAAGACTTCTCTTGAAAAGAAGGCAAGGCCATAGCATGACAGCAAGGGATTGACCCTAGAGGGCACCCAGAGCCAGCTAATCCCCAGCTGCACCCATCCTCCTCCTGTCCCTTGCCTAGGCTGGTATAAATTGCCTTGGGAACAACAGTGAGTAACTTTCTCTGTTATTGCAAGGTCTCTGATGTCCTTTGCTATTTAAAAGATGTGGAAAGATGTGGAGGTGTGGGACAGGAAAAGGCTGTGCCAAACAAAACAGTATCTTGCTAGAAGTCCTCTTGGTATATCTCATTTTTATCTTTAATCAGAGAAGACAAGGTAGCACTTGAACTAAGATCTCATTAATGACTCGGTGCAGACAAAGCAATCATCATTTAACTTAGGGTAAATCAGCTGTTGGTCACATTTCAGTGTTTTCCTTTGAAACACTTTTGCAACACAGGTAAGATGATCTTCATTAGCTAACATCAAAAGTCCTTCGCATCTTCCTCTGGTATATATCTGACTTTGTGTGCAGAGGGGACACAGCAGGGTCCAGGCCTCGGTGCCTCTTACGCCTCCCCCTATCTTGGCTAGAGGACTGTATGTCTGGGCTCAACACACTTAAGTCCTTCTTGGCAGAGCATCACAAGGTGGTCTATCTTTTCCCCACAGCAGGAAAAAAAAGTAACCACCCTGCCATTTCATATTGTCTGGTAATAAACATCCTTGCAGCAATTTTAAAAGAAACCTGTGAGATTTTTCAATTACACCTGGATAACATCACCTTCCACTTACTCTTCATTTGAATTTACATCACAGCTATAATCTGGCAGCAATTCCCTCTCCTAGGGAAAACAATGATTGGACAATTAAATGTGAAAGTTCCATGAATCAGTGCGTGAGCCACATGAACACAGATATCTTTTTGTCCATTATAGTCCTACTGCCTTGTGGTCCCTCTGGTGTAAGCTCAGTTTCAGCAGTTTGCTTCTCAAACTTTCCTTTCACACACGCACAGACCATGGTTTAAAGGTGCCTGGCTCAGCAGAAGGACACTGTAAAGAGAAAAAAAATTGACTTAGCAACAAATGAGGGTCCTGACCAGGATTCAGTATGTCCCACTCTCCTTTTGAGGCAGCTGACTTTGTACTAGTGAAGATGAGCTCCTATCCCAGCCTTTCAAAACACAGAGATGTCTGTCTCATGACACTTGGGTCAGAGGCTGTGCCTGGATCTAGCTGAAGGCCTGATGGTCAGCTCCTGTTGAGTCCTATGAAGTCCTTTGACAACACTGTGACAGAGGAGGAGCCCATGAAGAGACAGTGACACTACTTCAGATCATGCCCAGAGCCTCTAGGGAGACTCCTGAGGCCTTAATAATCAGAAGGAGTGGGTATGTTCAGTAATACTTTTCTCTCCCTCCCTCCCTGAGAGACACCACTAAATCACGGAGTAGCCTTAACCATATGTTAGTGATGATGATTCCCTGAGAGATGATAGTCAGGAGCACCAGGACAAGCAGTCAGTGCCTTTGACCTAAGGACAACACTTGGATGGTAGAGGGATGGACTGCAACTTCAGTGATACTGTACAAGAGCTCTTCCTGCAATGGGAGCCCTAGCATGCTGGTCTGTGGATTTGTCTCACAGTTGGTGGCATGTTAAATCAAGGATAACACCCATGAAATAAAAACCATCTACTTAAGCACAGCCACAAATCCTGCTCTAATCCTGGTCCTGGACCACTGTGAGCAGCACAAACACTCCACATGGGGTTGGCTGGCTAGGGAGCAGACTGGGAAACCAGAGGCTGTTACCATTTTGGTGAACATGTCCACGCAAGCATTGCGGATCCTCTCTGGGGTGGCAGGGCTGTCCAGCCTGAATGGTTCAGTCAGGCCAGAGTCCTTCCTTGCTGAGTAGATGGCATCTTTGATGGCATAAAACACTGAGGCAGACAGGAACAGAGGTGGTTCTCCTACAGCCTAGACAGAGCACAAGCACGAGTAAGGCTTGAGTGAACTTCAGTCTGCTAGATATGCTCAAGTGAAGAAACATGAAGCTAAAACAGTCTCCAGTCTGCCAGGTGTGATCAGTGAAGAAAGACTGAGCTAAAACAACCCTTAGTCCATTTAAAGGAGAAACAGGATGAAAACAAGCTTTCTGACACAGCAAGGCTGTTATGAAGGAAAAAGGGGCTAACTTGTTCCCATAACCTTTTAGATGATGCTAAAATACAGCAAAGGGAATTCAGATAAGGCAGTGGTGACCTGTCTGGGCAGAGAGCGTGATGCTCCACCACTGAAGGCCCTGGCAAACCAGCAGGGATTACACAAGTATTAGTTAGTACTGAGGCCCCTGACAACTCCTTTTTTCTTAATTCTGTCATCGGCTCTAATGACCCCAAAAGTTGATTGTCTTTGTGGATGAAAGGGAAATGGGAAACTGTAAGGAGGCAGGCCAGGCATAAACAGATAACGATGCTGGGTGGCCTCTCTCTGGGTGGCTCTGTTGAAGTAAAGTAAATTATTCACTGGTGCCATCCATCCAGGCCTGCTCTGACTGCAGAGAATATCACTGACTCTGTGCTGTTCTCTGCAGTCAGAGAACAGTCCTTCAAACAGCTGAAGGACTCGTGGGTTAATGATAGAACTTTAAGGGCAATACGAGCACTCTAAAACAGTAAAGAAAGCAAAACATGAAAACTCAGACACAAGTTCTTGATATATCAGATCTGGGGAAATGACACTGCTGGAAATATTATATGCCCAGGAAAGGCAGCCAGGGAGCTGACATGTAGGTGGAGGCTGGCAGCCTCTGTTGCAGCAGAACTGGCACAGTCAAGCTGCTTCAGTTCTGTCTAATGTACAATCAGGGCAGCAATGTGCAGGTTATTTCAGTTCTTCCTGACTGTAAATGATAGTATACATATTTCTGGCAAGAAATGGGAAAACATCCTGACCCCAGAATAAAGACAGCATAACAAGATGAACTATTTAGACACACAGAATTGTTACTTTATCACACTCTGTTTCACAGTATTATAGAGCATGAAGAGACCTACAGATCTGACAGACATACCTTGGATGAGTAAACAGCTTTGCTGTTCGGGCAGTCACGAAGAAGAGACACATAGAATTCTGTTGGGATATCTCCAAATGCTGGGATTTTATACATCCCAGGCCCTCGAGTGTACAAGTTCCCTTCAGGAGAATAGCGCAGCTCTTCCATGGTGAAGAGCCCAAGGCCTTGGACAAACGCTCCTTCTATCTACAAACACACCCAAACAAGGTTACATTCTTTTTGCTTTTGGTATCCTTCCCTGCACAAGAACAAACAGTGATGACATCCACCAGTGTTTTCAACACCCCCCCACTCCTGACTAATGTCCCTCTTTCAATCTCTAAACCCTTGTCCCTTCTGCTGAGTACAGCTTGGCACCTTGGCACAATTCCTGTGTTCCTACATAATTGTGGCTGCACTTTCCTGGCAGGTGAAAAAATTTACAAATACAACAAACAGATTTTCTGTAAACACAGGACAGGAATTTTCTGATGAAGGAAGAAAAAAAAATTCAATGCTAAAATATTGATTCCTTCCCAGGTAGGTAACAGTGAATGAGTTGCACTTGCTGATAATTCAAAGGACAAGCAGATTAAAAGGACTAAAGGTTAACGATCTGCAGACAACCTATTTTACACTTTCTTTTTCAGTATAAATGCTTTCCTAAGTGCTGCATATTCTCAGGTCACCAGCACAGACACCTGCAAAACCACTCCCATATCCATTCAAGTACCGAAGACTTCTTTGCATATTTTCTCTACTGTAAATTTTAGAAGAAAAAATAATATTTTTAAAATGTAAAAAAGAAGGGAAGCAGCTATGAGAAGAGGATGTGCTTGAACAACCCTGCATGAAGCAGCCCTGCTCTTTGTGCCCAGTGGGATATCTGAGAGTCAGACCAGTCTAAAGATTTGGCACAATCTGTGTACTTGTGTTCCTGCACTCGTACAGCATCCTTTCTCTCCTGTGCCCCCAGATCCTCTGTAGCAATTCATGGAAGGACACAGGAATTTGAGATCTCTTTGACAGGCTCTGTACAGCCAGTCTTTTTACTCCTAAACCCAAACTGAAAGGCTGCTAAGACAGAAAGCCTTCTTCTCCCTTTGGTCACCTCCAAAAATGTCTTTTCAGAAAAAATGTTGTTTTCAAATAGGTTTCATTTTAGTTATAGCAGAGCTCTGCAAGTCATGCTCTCCTGTAAACCTGAAATCCTGCAGCAGTTTCACCAGAGTTACACTATGTCAATGTCAAGATTTTAGCAAGTGAGCTAAGTTGGCTAGATAAGCATTTGCAAATGTCTAATGACTTATCTCTTGGTCTATCAAACAACCCTGTGTTTATTACCTTTATTTGCTGAGAGTTATTATGATTATTACTGCACAAAATATTGAACTAAGCTTGTCCCTGCCCAAGGAATTTGCAAGATAAGTGACTGCTTCAACTTCCTGTTCAGAACTCTACACAGCAGTAGCTGGAAGACAGAATCTATCACCCTAACTCTTCAGTCACTGAATTTTCACTGAATTAAATGCTACTTAATATTGACAGATAGGAGCATAAAAACCAGGCGTGGAACTTAGTCTCACATGTCACACTGTAGAAACTGATTCAACTAGGGTTGAATAACCTGAGATGGGATCATTCAACCATATTATTATTATCTAGATTCATTTCTTAGGCAAGGCAGATGCTGAAAAATATCAATGTGGTGGTAACTGGACAATATCCTCTAGTTTTAATATCTAAGGAATAAAACCCCAAAACCAAACAACAGGATATTTCCCTAGACAATTCTGTGCCAAGTTTAAAAGGCTGTGTTTGCAAAGGTACAACCTGGAGAGGGATAATAAATAGAAAAGACTGAGAGTGGTGTGATCACTTTAATATGGTGGAAATAGCAGCACTATTTCACTTACCTGTCCTATATCTATGGCTGGGTTCAGGCTGGTACCAACATCCATAACAATGTCTGTGCGAATGTTCTAAAAAAAACCAGAAATGAAGGATAAATCAGCACAGACAATTGAAAGTCTTGTGTGAGGAGGAGTAATGTCTCCAACCACTATCCCACACTGTCAGTGTTCAAAAATCTATCTCAGCTCAACTCTTCATACTGACTTTTAATCTGACTCCACCCTTAAATTAAATAAAGGAACTCACTGCACTTTTCCTCAGAGATCCAATGGACCCAATTATTACTAATTTCAAGCTGCTGACATCAGTGCTCGGTGCCTGAGCATAATAAAGTAGGTCAGATTCTGATGAATCTATTTTTCTTTCTCTCTTTCTCTCTTTCTTTCTCTCTTCAATGCTAATTTTAATGATTAACTCAATTCCAGCATGTTTCTGTACTTCTATGCTAACACAGTGCTACTATCTCTTAACCAAATCCAATAACTTTTGCAATCATTCATTAAGCCACCTAAAACCCCCTCAGGGTAGATAATTATAGTTTTATTATACTTTATGGCTTGTTGCACTGTGGAACAGAGAAGTTAAGAAATTTACTGAAGGTCACACCAGACCAATGACACAGCTAGGAACAGGCTGACACCCAGTAATTTTTCTAACTCGCTATGAACATTTTCTTTACCAGAACACTGAGAGCTATTTCATTGTTGACCTCCTCACCTTATGGTCACCTGTCAGGCAATCTATCTCAACCTCAGAGCAAGCAACACCATAACTGAAGTAGGAGAATGGTTTCCCTTCGTTCCTTTCAAAGTCATAGCCAACGTCAGGAATTCTTGATAAAAAGAAAAACAAAGCCACATTTCATTCCATGAACAAAACAAATGCAACCACATCACAACTTATCAAAAGTCCTTATTCACTTTTGTTTCATTCCTTCCATCAAGCCCATAGAGAAAAGAAGAGTGCAAACAACTACAAATAGAAATCTGCTAAAGCTGCTCTGTATTCCAAAACCTGATTGAAACTATCAAACTATTTTAGCCATCTTTATTTTCCCATGAATCTCAGGGCTTGTGACAACTATTATAAACTATTAAAAACTCATTCTCACCAATCATGTAGCAAATCTTTTGCTTTGAAAGTGCAGTTTAACATTTCTTGGGGGCCATTAAATTTCAGAACATAATCAAGGCTGAACCAGAAACTGGATTAAGTAAAAAAATGCATTTTAAGCATAGTTCATTGCAAGCTTTTTATCTATCTGTCTATTCATAATTTGTCTGAAAACTAGTTTATTAAAATACTGAGAGTCACTTGGTTAAGAGAAAAACACATTGCAGAAATGCAACAGAAATGAGCTCATAGTGTATTTTAGTCTTAAATAAATTCTTCTCAGCATTGTGTTTAGTTATTTGTGTCAACCCCTCTGCCTCAAAGATGATGGATCTCTGTTTTCCTCTAGCAGTAAAGCTGACAAAGAGAGGTCCCTCACTTCAGAACTACCCAGGAACCAGGAAGAGTTTGAAGTGGGGAATGAAACTGAAACACTGGTAATCTGACCATGCACAACAGACAGGATACCCCTGCAGCCAGTTGTCATATGTAGCTTTGTTCTCACAGATAAACCTTGCCCTCTTTTATCCTGTATGGCAGTTCCAGTGCAACACTAAGTCACGAGGCTGACACAGGGCACAGCCCCAGGCAAAGCTCTGATTTCATTTATGGCCTTTCAGACCAAGGTCAGCAAGATCTACTCCAGATTTATACAAGGTCCAAACTTGGCCCCAAGAGTTGTGCTCCATCAGGAACTGATTCTCCCTAGCCACGAGTGTTGTTCTCAGTTTACCATTCCGAGATAGGACAGAGAATGCAGCCCTAAGCTAGAGCAGCAAGAGGGGTAAACGAGCAGTAAATCCTCCCAGAATTTCCCTAGATGCAATCCATACTATTGAGTAATATCTGTGCCTCTGCAGCATGAATTTTCACTCACCTATAAAACCCTGTGGCCGACAGGCTAATACAGCTCTCATAGGCGGTTTTAATCTGGCAAAGTGGAAAAGAGTTTGTAAGCAGTCAATGTCCAACCAGTCCCTGCAAAACAGCTACCCAAAAGCATTTCCAGGAGACCACGAATAGAAGGTGACAAGTGACAGGCAGCTGTCATGCTACTCAACACCAGCAGTACCAAGGGAAACATTATGATTCAACAAATAGCCCCATCAGCAGCTATCAAGGGCAGAACTTGACCATTGGCAGAGGATAAGACTTGCTTTTGTTTGTTTGGCTCTCTGCTAGAGGTTAGACTTTTAGACTCAGAGACAAAGGTTAAATTGCCAGGTCATTTCAACTTCAGGGAGGCCAAGGGAAATGCTGTCCTGACTTCCAAATCACAAACCAGAAGCTCCTCCCATGAAAAACAGAGCCTTACAGCACACCAATCTCTTCTCATTGAGGGTACAGAGATATTACAGCCAAGGAACACTACAGGGGGTGAATGGCAGCTCAACAAAGACTCGCCTTTGTCACAGAATCCCTTCTTTAAAAATTAGGTTTCCTTCTGTCCAAGACTACGGCCTGACTAGAAAGATACATGTAACCACTCAAGATTTTTATTTGATGAAGTTTGTCATAGGCAGGCCCCAGAATTTAGAGAAATCTCTGTATTAAAGTAATAACTGATTTTTGGGGGCGACCTTTGGTTACTTGGAAACCACTGCCTGGTTTGTGTTACACTGTCTCTTCTCAAATCTATGCTAGCAAGATGCAGAAGGCCTGGAGGATACATCTGCACATATGGTTTGCCAGTTAAAACAATCTGACTATGTCCACTTGTCTCATGACAGATACAAACAGCTTACCCAGTTTTCCCAGGATCCTTTGGGATTAGACTGTTTGATTGGCTCAAGTCTTTTTAGGATAGTCTGACACGCATTCTGGAAACAAAGAGAGAGAAAAGAAATATTTTAAGATTTGAAAAGTTGGCTTATAGTATGAAGAGCCCTATAAGAGTTTCGAAGAACCTTCTGTTTAAATCAATATTGTCTTTTAGGACTTTGGCATATCATAAAAAGGAACAAAGTTGACTAACAGATGTTTTGCTATATAGGAAGAAATGTTGACTGAAAGGAATTTTAGAGGAGATGGGCTGTGCTGATAGCAGAAAGGAATCCCAAATTTGGCACAGAACCTTTTGGACCATGACACAAAATATCAGAAGTCCACCCTTTTATGCATTAACTTTATCTGTACCAAGTCATAGCAGGACATCTTAGCATATCATACATATGGTCCTGTAAAAAAAAAATTCTTGCCAAAATTCAGCCTTCTCAGACAAGCTGTGCAGAGAATAAAAACAGCCTGATGATTTTGCTTCACAAGTTATACTTATCCTTTTCTTTTAAACTGGAAATGACCAGTACTAAATTCCACTTTCCAATGGAAAATCACACATCTTGCATATATA